CTTTGAATTCTGTTATAAGAGTGTAGATATTTTGTTTTAGCAGACCACTAACATGTACTTGTTCTTGTGCATTCTTCACTATCCTCAAATATTTGTTTGGATTTTGTTTAATTTTTTTTATCATGTTAGCCAAATATTAGTATTTTATCCCAGTGTGACAGCTGTTTGACTTAGGTAAACCTATTTTTTTTTCTGAAAATGGTCAATAATATCTAATTTTACAAGTTACTAGTATTTAAATAAATGGTAATATTAATGTGAAGAATTTATCTCAGTGCTTACCAAGTGGTAAGGGCTAAGTAATTGACAACATTTATATTTTTTAAGATAAATAATTTTATTTTAGATGGTGATGCAAATGAGACTTTTTTAATAAATGTGAAAAGCCTGAGTCAAGGATAAGAAGTAAAAGTATCTAATTACAATTCAGAACTAGTGACTATTACATTTGAATTTGTCTAGCTGCCTTTAGAAAAAAAAGTTAATTAAGTTCATATTTATTGAGAGGCTACCATGTACCCAATGTTATTCTAAGTACTTGTCATGCAATGGTGAGCAAGCAGACACAATCTCAACTTTCATAAAGACTTTGAGAACCAACCTTAAATTGAAAAAAAAATGCTCTTATTAAGTAACTACCAAGTCTTGGACATTCTATTAGGATCTTTAACTTAAAATAATACAAATAACATGATGTTACTCTTCTATTTTTATTCTATTTATTCATCTGTGTTCCTGTAGCTAAGGTGACTATATGATTTGTCTTCCAAACTTAGCCCCTTCTAAGACTGATAGCAGTTGCTATTAATAAAGTCACCAGTGTCATAGGTATAAGTTAAGACTTCCCATGGCAAAATGAAGTGTGTACATACATCAATTTCCTTTGCAAATAGTAATTTATTTAGAAACTTACACATTAAGGCAATGATTCTACATATTTTTTTCTTTTTCATATTTTATTTATCTAGCACATTGCATTGACTATTGATTTACCCCAAATTTTCATCTTTTGCTAACAGAGTCCACTGTCCTAATCCACTGACTTCATTATCTTATCACATTGGCCTGTCTGTAGTAAGAATTTTCTGGATAAGAATCCTTCTAGACTTAATGATTTCTCTTAGTAATTTGTCATCTATTGATCCCACTCTGATTAATGGATAAATCATTATTTGTCCTTGTTATATTCAGAGGTAAACCTAATCTCTCTCCCCTTCTGTATGATATCTCTGTACACAGCCCTACCAATAACAGGGATATGCAGTAGGTTTTTTGTTTGTTTGTTGTTGTTAGATTGATTCCACAAAATTCATGTTGAAGACAGTCCAGGATAAGATATAGTTTGGAGGATAAGGAATTTTATGAGAATAAGCTGAATCAGTAGAATTCTTGCTAAAACTAGACTGAACAGACCTAGCTGAGACCCCAGGATGAGGAATTAGTCAGGAAAACTCAGAGGGGCCTGATTCAGATTTAGTAAAATTATCTTTGTCAACATTCTCTGGAATATTTTTGTCCCAAATCATTTATTTTGACTGAAATGAAATAGTCTTTCTTCTATGCCTCCAAGGTTTCTATGTTTGTATTTTTAAAAATTTCCACAATACTTTGAAGTTACGAGCTTTTTCTCCTTCATTAGACTGTAATATTCCAGACAAACAGTACCATTTTCATTTTTTGAAGACCTTGAGTGAAATTAGATAAAATTTTTTAAGCTATATCAAATTTTCACTTTTAAAACTTTAGTCAAAGGAATTAACTTTTTTTTTGGTTATTTATAGCCCTGAAACTCAGTAATTTTGCCTGGTAATTACCCCCAGAACTAATTCATGTCTTGGGCATAGAATAATAAATGTGATCATAAGTAGGTTGGAAGTTTATATTTGCTCATTAAACCAATGCAAAAGCATATGAACTTTATATACAATAGCAAGGAGTTTGAATTTTATCATAAGAGCATTTAAGGACAATTAATTAATTAATTAACTTAATTAATTTATTTAATTAATTAATTAAAGAGATCATTTTATCAGAGAACACACAGACATATTTGTTAGTTTGGTATAGTAAGAAGAAAGTATTTCCATTGGTGGGTTCACATTTAACAAGAAAGAATAAACAATATTATCAAGTCTTGGAACAAAATATGGTTAACAAGAATGCTCTTCTGTATATTTTGTTCTTCATTTTCTATTGGAGGTTGAGGAGTATGACAAAAGTGCTTTTCATTATTTTCTCTGTTTATTACTAAATTCTGTGACTCTTTTAACACCATGTTATTGATGGAATTAAGAGATAAAATAAGCCCTTTATTTTCCATACAAAATATAAAGGTAAAGATAATAACAATTAACGCATATATCTTTTTCTTTGTCAGAAACTATTCTAATACTTAGGTAGCATACTTTGTTGACATTTTATATTTTATTAACTCATTTAACTCTATAAGAACCCTTTAATCAGGTATTATAATATCTGTCTTACAGTGAGGAAACAGACACAAAGAATAAAATAACTTTCCTAGACCACACAGTGGTAAAAGTAGGATTTGAACTCAGTTTAAATTGGCTCCAAATTCAAAGCTTTTAACCATTTTGAGTGATATTACTCTTGAGCAACAGATTTACTCTTCTATTTGTTTAATTGTCTATCCAACAAATATACTTATCAGGCATATACTGTTTAATTAACTGATTGTCCCATAAAACAAATCCTGTGCAAAGTAGTAGGTTGGAGGCCTACATTTATAGGATCAAAGAGGATTCCTACTCTTAAGGAGTTTTATATCTAGCTTAGTATTATAGCTAAGGACTGCTACATAGAGCTGTAATATAAGTGGAATTTGATAAAGTATATAAGGAAGTAATTGATATGAAAGTTCTAAAAAATCTATTTTTATTTCAATAATGTAAAAGATAATGTACAAAGGCCTTAAGAGTGAATAAAATTTGAGCATATAATAGGGAAAACAATGTAAGGGACAACATGTAAAATAACACATGTAAAGACCCAAACATTGGAAGATGTGGTGTGTGTATAAGGAAAATTTTTTAAAAAGGGAATAACTGAGGGTTTTTTCCTATATACATGACCCAGTCTAAAACATGACATTATGTTATGTCTTATGGATAGGAACCATGAACGTTTTGTTTTCCTTTGTGTAGATATAAGTCATGATATAACTTCTCATTTTAGGAAGATGCATATTAGAGCAATTAGTGATTTTTTAAAACAGAGATTTTGGAATGTAGAGAAAAAAATAGAATTTCAAAACTGATAGTGGGATTATATTCAAACAACTAATGAGAGACTGGCTTTTGTGCTTTGTTTTCCAGTGTCTTGCTTCAGATCCAAATTTTTAATATCTATTTTTGGACACTTTGCTTTTTGTATTCTGGTAAACTGCCACTTTTACTTTCTAGAGTTTATTTCCTACTTTGCTATAGACTGCTTATTTTTCTAATGCAGATTCTCCTTTGGCCTTTATAAAAACTTTGGATATTCACTTCCTTCCTACTACTTGTCTATACCACAGATCCTTCCCTTCTTCATGGCCATCTTCACTTCCATCTTCACCATTTGACATAGAATGATATTATGTGATTCTTCCATTAGAGAATAAAAAATCCTTATAGAATAGACAGGTATGTAATTTCAATAGGTAGAGAAAATTAGTCAAATGTGAATCGTTTAAGCTTGACTTCTATGCTTCTTTTTGCCATTAGATCCTAAATTCATCAACGCTTGTCAAAAAATAGATATGTGAGCAACAATGTGATTGAAGTTGTATTAGTTAAATTGGTATAGTAACAAATAGACCCAGACATATATCTTATTTTAAGCATAATTATTAATTATTTCAGGTTCCATAACAGTCCAAATTAGCTAATCTTCTTTTGGAATTATTTTTTCAATACATGATTTAGGACCAATGTTTCTTCAGTATTGTGGTTCCACCATCTCTCATGTCTGCAGTGGTCAGAAGTAAAAAAGAAAAGAAAGGAGACTTATTTATTTCTTAAAGGACTTGGATAAGAAATGATGCATCACACTTCTGTTCACATTCCACTGGAAGAGACTTAGCTCATAGTCACACAAAATAGCAAAGCAAGATGAGAAATTTAGTTTCTTTGTCTATACAAAGAGGGAAAAAACCAGTTTAAATGGTAGCTATTGGTTTTCCCCAGAGTTAAGAAAAATAAAGTAAAACTAATTACAGTGTGTATCATTGGAAAATATGAGACGATAGTAGTTTGTTAAATGCAATTAAGTTTAACTTTAAACTGCTTCCATACCTTGATCCCTTATATTAAAACAACAACAACAACAACAAAAAAAAACCTGCAAGTTAACTTGATATGTGAAAAAACTAAAACCCTAACTTTGGAGAATATTTTTGTAACAAATAGCTAAATCACAGAAAATCATAGCAACTGAACTTCAGTTAATCATAGGCAACCAACTCATCAGACTATTTCCAAATAAGGCAAAGCATTGAGCTATAAGCCATCAAATTGTTTCTGTGTATGTCACTTCCACATTGTGTCTATAATAATCCTTGCTCATGTTTTGGAATGGTGCTGTCAGAACCTCCACTCTTCTAGACCCTGCCCAATTCATAAACTGTTTTTGCTCATTTAAATTCTGTTTAATTTGTCTAAGGTTTGTCTTTCGGCAAACTAACTGAAAAATACTATTTATAAGTGCTAAGGATAGGATAAGATAAAATGCTGTTGCTGAGTCAGTCCAAGTTAAATAATTGTGAGAAATAACAATGAAAACAGGAATCAGATTCAATTTATTTCTGTGTTAAAATGTTTTAATAGTGATTTTTCTCTCCAAAAATCACAAAATTGGAAAGCAATTTGGGGAAAATGCTTCTTAGTGAAGTAAATAGTATGTTCTCATCAACTTTATTAATATACCCTTCAAAACAATTTGAACAGAAAGTAAGTTTAACTTTTGTTGTAATATATATGTTTGTCTGTTATATGATGTAGGTCAGAAGGAGTCTGGAGATGAAAATGAAGATGAAGTACTGGATACCAATTTTAGGATATCAGCATCCAAACTACCTTTATATACTTCAGGTTTATTGAAGTATGATGCAATATTAAAACAGAAAAAACAAGATTATTTTCCTGAACATGCCCATCTATTTCCTACCACCCATCCAAAACCAATAATTAAAAAAGGCACACTACCTGAGACAAATTTAAGACAGTTTTTTACAACACAGAGAGCCGGTATAAAACTCCAAACCCTTAAAGATATTGACAAATATTATGCTGAACAAAAGAAGCAGGATCTCCATCAAGAAAAAATAACAGCTGTATCAAGGGCACAAGATGACAAAAAAAGAGTTGGCTTAACTGTTCATGAAAGCATAAATAAGAAAAAAATTGCTATAAAAAAACTAATTGAAAAAGATCATAACACTATTCAGAAAAGTTTACAGCAACTTTGGCAAGACAAATTAAAATACCTTATGAAAGTTAAAGAGAGAAGAACTCTGTTTCTAGAAGGAAAAAACCAAAAGGCTGAAGAACATTTAATAGTTCAAACCCTAAATAATGAGCGTACTATTCTGACCAAAGGAATGATTAAAATTGACAGACTGAAGAGGAATGATGCTATCCTAAGACAAAAATGGCTGAGTGTTCAGAAAAACATAGAAGAAGAAAAATACCAAAAGAATTTACTCAACCAAATGAAGGAACATAGGTGGGTACGGTTTAATATGACAGAAGCTTTGAAGTCAATTACATATAAATATTACATACTAAATGCTGAATTCTGATTAGTAGTATTTTGTTTATAGCATTCTCCTTTGGAAAATGGAAACAAAAAGACAATTATGCATTCCTATATTATCATAGAATAGATAATACAACAACTGTTTTTCCCTATCTCAACCTCAGACAACAAAACCTGATTAATTAATATGTGTAATAAACAGCATTTAACTAGTGCTAAAAACCAGTCTTACAACTTAGTCTCCCTGTCAACATGTAACATGTTTTTTTAATTATTTTTATTCTGAAAGAAGTCTCAACTAGATCTTTTCATTCCCAAATCTCATAATCGCCCTAATAATTCACATTATTCTTCTAATTGAGATTGCCATTCCCATTCTCCATCTTTTCTTCAACTTGTGTATTTTTGCTAGCCTTCAAAACTTACTTAATTTACAATTGTCATAGATAGTATTTTCATCAGCCTCTTGACCAGTGCTAGAAACTAGTCTTATAAATCAGTCTACCTCACTGCCGACATATAATGAGTGTGTGTGTGTGTGTGTGTGTGTGTGTGTGTGTGTGTTGATTCCAGGGATTGAACTCTACCACTGAGTCACATCCCCAGTCCTATTTTGTATTTTATTTAGAGACAGGGTCTCACAGAGTTGCTTAACACCTTTCCCTTGTTGAGACTGGCTTTGAACTCTTGATCCTCCTCCCTCAGCCTCTAATGTATTTTAAAAATAAAGTTCTGATTATGTCTATTTAAGTTTGTGGCTTTCAATTGCCCAAATAATGAAATTTAATCTTTTTAGCATTTAAAAAATATGCTTTGTTTAAATCTAGTCATATCACACTAAATTTTCTCCTAGAGTGTCTACCCTCTATTCTTAATTACATTTTTTTCTCTAGACAAACTCATTCTCCATTCCCTACACAACTTTGCACTTTCTTATTCCAATGATTTTTCTCACACTATTTCCTTTTCTCTCAAATATGACCCTACTGGGGAACTATAAGCCCACAGTGTTACTATATGTTATTATGCAAAAAGAAGTCTCTTTGTTATTGTGAAAATCAGAATGCTTTTGGTGTTTCAAATTAGTGGTGAGGTGATTTCTGTACAGGGATGCAAACTATACTCTGTCCTCTAAGGAAATATCACAAGTAGTTGATGCTTAGCTGTATGTGGCTGTGTTTCACCCTTTTATTTTCCATCATATAGTACGTGAGCTGCACAACCAATTGCAAACCTCATTCTTTTATTTCCTACCATATAGCAGCCAACTAAAATGGTATTTTAACTTCTCTTCAATTACTTTTCCAGTCTAAATTGGTCTTTTAATATTTTGGTGATTCCATAACACTTTATTTAAATGTCAATTCTAGCAATTGTGATAGGCAAGTCTTTATCATAGTGAACTGGGGAAATCTTTTGTAAAATAATTTGGCCCATCTTTCCATTTCTGTGTGTGGTACAGTGCTTAGTTAAAAAATTTATTCAATAAATACTTATTGAATAAGTATCAAATAGGTATGAATCCCAATTATCAGTGATTGTATATTACTTCATTTAAGTCAGATAATTGCCTCTGAGAACTCTGAGTGTTTTTTATATATTTTTACTTAATACTTAAGCCATTGAGATGAGAAATAATGCATACATTTTCCAAATGTTTATATAATAAAGATATGTAATCAGAATTGTTACCAGTGCTGGAAATCAAACCCAGGGCCTCTGGCATACTTTATCACTGAGCTAAATCCAAGCCTAAATTTTTAAATAAATTATAAAAATATAATTTACCAAGCTGTGAAAATAGCTTTGCTATCAATTAGAATAGGTATCCATCTTAGCACAAGTGCTTATTTCATGGCAATAAATTTATATACTCTTATTTTCTTTCCCTCAGTGATCCCCCATTGTATTTCTATCAATAGGTTCTTATCTTCAGTTCAAATTACTCAAGTAGTGATTCAAGTTTAGCTCTCAGAGATTCCTATCACAGGCATTGTGGGGACTGGCAAGTCATTTCGCCCAAAAAACTGAAACTCTAGATAGTTGGTAGGCAAAAAAGACAACAAGACTACTACATTTAAATAATAATACAAGTAATAATACAAGTGCTACTAAGAGACAGAATGAAAATTTCTGGTAAATAATAAGTAGGTGGCAGTAATATTGAAAACTGGAGGAGAGAATATTTTATACCTTACCTATCAGAGTATTCAGGACTCACACTTGTATAACAGAACAGGTTACCTAGAGAAAAACACAATAACCTTATTAAAACAAAAGTTACATGACATGGAAACTTCTATAAATGAAGAATCAGAGGCCCAGCAAAACGGTATTTTTATGCCTAGGATTGATGAAGAGTGCACAGTTGTACAGAGGTGTGGTTGGACAAAAAGGGGATATGACCTAAATAATAATGAACTGAAGGGAACTCGGCGAGACCTGTGTATTCAGATTATTCTTGTCCTCTTGCTGTAATGTTCCTTCCCTCCAGGTATAGGAGAGGACATCTGAAGATGTCCTAAATACTTTTTGCACAACCAGAGATATGAAAAAATATGCTGTATATGTGTAATATAAATTGTAATACATTATGCTCTCATATATAATAAACTAGAGTAAAAAATAATTTTTTTAAAAAAAAGAACATTAGATTCTTTAAAGGAAAGGGGGCAAGAGAACTTCACAGAGAGCTTTCTGCTTCTACGATTTTTTCAATTTCCTTCAGCTTAATACTCAGAATGCTAAGCTGCCATATTTTGGGTATCATTTCCCACATCCCATCAAAACCTCAAAATTAAGTTTTAACTAAACATCACAGTGTTAGTTCACTTCAATTTTCCTCTGCTCTGCCATACAAAGAGGAATTAAAATATTCTTAATTCTCTAAGAGTTCAGTGACAAACATAAGCAAATATTTGAATTCTTACAAAAATCAGAGGAAATTATGATTATCTATTAGAATTTGGAAAAATCAGAGGAAAAGGGGAGACCATTATTAGCAGAAAAGTTCAGAATAGATAAAAGCAGAAGAGACAACTGAGGTGCAGAATACATTTTAAATATGCATTTTACCACAAAACCTTCTTTTCAAGAAATAGATTGGAAGGTGATCCCAGAAGAGATTTTTGACAAATCTGTTTCAAACAAAAAAAAAAAAGGTAAATTGTTTTGCCATAAAGACTTTTTTATTTTTATTTAAATTTTTGAGTTGTAGAAGCTCTGAGAAATAATATTGATTCAAAATATTTTAATCTATGTATAGCAAATTTAAATTTTAGTAGTTGTCAAAGGATATATTTAAGAGAATAAAAACACGACTCATACATATATAAAATTAGCACATGCAAAAATTTATTTAACAGAATAATGAAGAAGAAACAGTAAAAAGTTACAACCAGTTAAAATGAAAATGCAAGAAGTGTGCATATATATATTCACGTGTATGTATGTGTAAATAAGAATGCTGATATATATATATATATATATATATATATATATATATATTTTTTTTTTTTTTTCATTCCCACTGGGAAATATTCATGCCACACAAAATGTATTTATATTTGTATAAACAAGAAACATTTGCCTTACTAATTATAACTTGTAGAGTTGTATTTTATGTTTTTATCTCTCCAAATTTAAAATCTTTTATCTTAATGTATGGTGTGTGTGTGTGTGTGTGTGTGTGTGTGTGTGTAATTTTTGAAAATAATTTATAATTTGTATTAAAAATGTATCTTGGAAAATACAATGAAATCTAGTTTGCTATATCAAAATATGTCTAGTGCAAATTAACATTGGATAAATTTAATAAGCTTAATTTTTAATCACAGTAAATTGCATATCTAATCATACTTAATTCAAAAAAGATGCAGAATCAAATGAGCTTTGTAATGAATCTTAACTGAATTATCTTCTAAGTCTGAAAAGATATCCTTGAAAGTGTTGTTTATGTCAGTAGTATTCTCCCTCCCAACACTCACCAAATTTTGAGTTTTACTGTTTTTCTTAAAAAACAAAAATTGAGTATTAATAAACAGAAAGGAACTGTGACACAAAAAAAAATAAAATAAAATTTGTCTAGAGACATCAGAAGTTTTCCAATCCTGATACATTTTTTGCTGTTGATACTTCATTAATGTATCAGTATCAATCACTTGACTTAGAAAGTCTAAATGAATCTCAATAATTAGTGAAGTTGTTATTAGGAATGTAGCTCCTTGATCCTGCAATGTGAAATAAAGGGGGAAAAAACAACAGGGAAAAAGAAAATTCTAATTTAGTAAGTTGATAAAATATCCACAGGAGTACCTAAGTGTGAATTAAAGAAGTTTATCCTGAATCATAAAGCTTTTCTCCAACCAGCCACTGCCAAAATCATGGTAAACTTTCAAATTACCTAAAATCAACAATTACCTAAGATCAAAAATTACCAAACCTAATGTTAACCATTTTGGATTCCAACAATCCTTATCATACTTTACATTAATAAACTCATATCTATAGACACAAAAAGACTCTCTCATCATTTGGAACTGCCCCACTTCTGAAATTTTAGATTTTGATATACTTATTTATCTGTGACTAAAATCTATCTTTTCAATTTTTTCCTTTACTTTCACAACACACATTTTCAAATATATAGTTTTAAATATATATGTGTGAATATTATCTCTTTCTATATATATGTCTATATATATATATATATATATATATATATATATAT